ATTGTTTCATTATCTCCTCTCGGGCAGTACTTGTCATTTTCCAACTCGTAAACCTTGGGTTCAAATTGATTGTGTAAACCTTCTGTAGCCATTAAAACCATTGTACACAGTGTTTTTGACAGCTCCATCATAAAAATCTCATCAGCTTTCGCTTGGCTTACTCCTATGGTGACTGTTACATAGTGAAAGTGCAAAGTGATTGCCGACAACGGTACATGTTCCCGCATCATTTAACACCAAAATGCCGTCCGCTCCCCGTGTAGCAGCTGTTTTCATGGGGCAAGCATAAAATCAATGGCACCCGTGTGTTGCTGAATTTAATTGTTTAATTCATGAAAATGAAAATGGCTCGCAGAAATCCAGGATTACAAAGAAAATGAAGTATTTATATATTTGACTATTGTTGCATAGGGCATGTATAACCACAGCTGCTGTACTGTCAATTCAAAGTTCCGTCGAGTGCATAACGTCCTGTCTACATGACTTGTAAATTTGACTGACAAAGCGAGCTTCAAGGACGGCTGCGACGTACATGTACATATACAGTACAGTATCAATAAAAAGTATACAATTGGAGGTGTTATGTGTAAATAGGATGCCGTTTGCTACATCGTTGCGAATTATTACCGTTCGTGTGTTTCTTGTCGACCACCGTAAATCAAAGTTACAACGGACGTTTGACGGTATAAGAGGTTGTCTTAGTCATCTGAAGACTTGGTTTTAACTCTAATTGGAAAATGAATTGAACATGATGTTAATTTTGAAAAAAATGAAAGCATCGAACTGTTACTTGTTAAATTAAAAGAATACGCAAAATCATCTCAGTTTTTGATTGTGTATATCGAATAAAATGTTGTATATATCAAACAAAATAACAAAATATGTACTTTTTCCTACATTCCTTTACGTTAAAAATGGACCATTTTGCAGATTTTTTAAGCAGTGTACTCATGCGTGATGCTCCAGTGTTGATTCCGCCTTTATCTGCCCTTCCGCCAGATTTCCAACTTATATTAATTCAAAACCCATTCCATTCCCTCACAAACCCACGAGCGTTTCAGGAAACAAATCAGGAAATCTCACCTCGCCCAAAACGTTACATCCCTAAGAATAAGATGGAAATGATATAACGTGTACAAGGTTTGTATACTACCATCGGAGGAGGTGGCCTTGTAAACGAGGCCTGTGGAAGGAATGGTCGGGCAAGGGGTTTGGTCTCGGGGGTATGTCGGGGCTAGCACCTGCCCAATCAAACCCGAGGCTGTTAGTCGGTCGTCACCCGTGGTACTGGAAAAGAAGAGAAAAAAACCTGGAACTGCATGATCAGCCAGCAAAATTCAATTTCCAATATTCTCGCTTGGCGGGATTGCCCGCGCCTAAATGAATTAATCTTTGCATGCAACAGCGAGACAGAACAAGCCGTGTTCGTGCCATTAGGCCTTCCATCGGCTTCATTGAGATCTTACGCAAGCGGACGCAGAGTATGTTTACGACACTGCTTTCGATTCATGGATTACAAGACACGCGTTGTGGGCCGGTTGTTCACCAGGGCTCATATTTCTTGGGTTTATTTTGATCCAAAATCTCTCTAGCGCTCAACTAATTAACACAAAATAGCCTGGGAATGGGTAGTCATTAATTTAATCGCCTAATTGTAGAGTATTGAAGTGAATACGTCATGCGCACAATTAGTGTGTAGAAGGCATTAGGGTGAGAACCAGCGCATGAACCAACACGCGCGCGTACTCGTTTTTACATTCGTTTGCACTGCACTTTCTGGTTCACAGTGACGTCACACTTCGGTACTCATTTTCAGACATTCAGTTCCCATATACTGGGAATAGGGTTCAAGCGTGACCTTTTGAGCACTTGCTACACTATTGTCGGCAACAGCACTCCCCCGAACGTTGTAACCACGCCTATACCCCGTGTCTTTCCCTCCTGTTTCTTTATGGACAGCATGATGCCCGCAAGTTGAACCTATTTACGCTTTACTAATACCCTGGGACTCTGATGCGAATATTGGAAATACAAATAAGACCTTGCAATTTTGTCCCCGTAATAGATCCACCATCTGTTAATATGCATTTATGGAATTATTTATGATGTCTGTGCACTTTGGTAGTGAGCTAAACGTGTTCTGATCTGTCCTTGTGTATTGCAATGTAAATGATAACACGTGCATTGTGTCAAGCATGGTTGATCGTCGTTTTGAAGTTTTTTTCACGACATTAAGACATTACTTTTTATCGAGCTTTAACTAAGGGCTGTTATAGGAATCTTAAGATATTTAAATCTTTACACTTGTCAAGTGTATATAACTCACAGAGAATGCAGTGTTACAGAATCAGTCATTTCAACTGGAATCAATCAGACGTAGCCAGGATCATTTTTCTTTTTTGGGGAGGAGGCTTGTTTTGGAGAACCAAACATTTTTGAAATCGCTTCATGTACCCCCTTATGCCTTCTGATGACCGATGCTACATTTTGGGGTTTTTACACGCTGTTTGTAAAGGGAAATGTAATAAACCAAAAATTCGCCTGTGTCCTATTATTTTCCAAAAAGACGGGATCCTCGGATCCGCTCTTGGAATCAATTTGGATGATAACTCGGGATGTTGTCATTGTGATACAATTTTAATACAGGTCTTTTTTTAATGTCATGTGTTGCGCTTCCGAAGAGTTGTGGAATGCGCTTCCTTTTGCAGAGCGAATCAACAGTTTCTATTCTCTGCGCTGACACACGTCCAAAGGAATAAAGAATATTTTCTTTCTTGTAAATTGAAGTAATGCACATCTCGTTGACACCTAGAGAAGAAGGAACGAGATGCCAGCCATGTCAGACCTTCAGTACAAGCTTCTGTGGCCTAGAATGTCGTGTTGGACCACGTAAAGACAGTCAAAGTTTAATTAATTGCATTCAACTGCTGTTTCTCTGCGTCGCCTGCCAGTAAACTTTTGTGAATTGGCTGATCGATTACACTGAAATTAGTTAATGACAAAATCCAGAAGGGGTTGGGGGTCAATCCCTCTTCTCCGACACCAAAAATAAAATTTAAAATAAATAAATAAATGACAATGAAAGTAATAATAAAAAGTTATCATCTTGTGTTATATATGTACACCATTAACAATACAATGAATTACCAATATGTCAACTTTTTCGCAACAATTACACATTTAAAAAATCTGAGGTGCCTACTCCCCCCCAAACAAATCCCCGGATCCGCCCCTGCAAAGCTAAATTCTTTATTCGATCATGAGGATAATCGTTACAGGGACAGTCTTGTGTTTGAAATATGAACTGCAGCTAACCTGCATTTCCCTTCGCAAATTTACAAGCTTATGTCTTGAAACCGCCGCCGTGTTGTAAAGCTATAAAATTAACAATAATTCATCAGGACAAGAGTTTTCACAATCTTAATTAATTTTGTACGCTGTCATCTGTAACAGCCAGTCAGCCATCTGTAACAGACAAATCATATCAAACTTCTATTTGAAGAGGAAAGCAAGATCAGTGTCAGAAAAAGTCAGAAAATTCCACATAGTTTTGAAATTTTATTTACCTTTATTATTGTTCATTGTTTTTTCTTAAAATGAGAGAAACAACCCAGATCAAAAATGAACGTATTCATAAGTTGTAGCACGTAGTCTTTTAGGAAGATTCCTTTGGACTAGTTATGGATCTTTGTCGACATGTTTCATTTCAGATTCCATAGTGATGGATTTGTTGAAAAGGAGTAACTCAGCTTGAAAAGCTTCGGCAAATTCAATCATGACTTCCTTAAGGAACGACGAAAAGTCGAACGAAATAATTGAACAGGCAAGCGGCCTAGCCGTGAATACGTTTTTGAGATTAAGATTAGACCATTCTGTCCTGGTGAACGCTCATATCGAAATGATGCGTCTCCTTTTAAGCTTTTTCAAGTGAGGTAGACTCTTTTCAAGTTCCACCGCCGTCAGTGATTAAATATAAACACCGTGACGTTACTTATTGACGTTTGGCTGTTTTGTGCAACCACTGATTAGTATTTCCATGTCATGGAATTTTCTGTCTATGTCAGGAAATTAGTCCACTGATTCGTTGTTGTCAAGGTTACCCTTTTATATTAAATTCTGGGTTTTGTTATCAATAGATAGTTTTACTATCTTTTTTTGGCAATGCCGAGCCACTAATGCGTTACATGTAGTTTTGCTGGACGTCATTGACAAAAACCGAAGCGATGAAGATTTACCCCGGTGAAACAGTCTCCAAATCCAAGGCGTAAGTTCTGACATAGGATGAATCGATGTTGTTGACTTATTTGAAGTCTGACCTCTGGGAAACCCAACTACTGGTATCAGCTGGATCTAAATGTCATACCAGCTCAGACTAAACGTGGGTCAACGTTCGGCAGATTGCCATGGTTAACATCCCCCAGATGTCGACAGTTCAATAATGAAATCAGGGTAAATGAATGTACAATAAATGTCAGAAATCATACGAATAAGACCGAAGCAACCTTAACCAGCTGCAGACGCAATTTCTCTTCACATTTTATTAATCATTTAACATTGTTATAACTCCAACTAAATCCTAACACACTTCTCCGTCAGCCCCAAGATTTGGTTTTTACTTTAATCAGTTGGGTTCATAATAACAATTCGTTTGCTAATATTAGACTGGCGCCTACGCCAAGGAACTAAAATCAATTGAATTTTTTGTGGTGATGTATTCTGGAATTCTGACAGCCAGCATGTAGTTTCATTATTCCCAATGGTAACACGCATATTCAGAAAAAATACATGTACATCGAAATGTAATGTCAATCATTTCAATCATAACATAGACTGTTCAGCCATTATGTACATATTGCAGTCAATGCAATTTATATTCAAACCTTATCTCAGCTCTTATCAGTGAATTTCACCATCAGAATTGGAAGCCATTACTGCAGTGGCACAACGCTCGTGGACAGGTGGTACGCGCGCGTTAGATGCCTCTTCGACCAATAGGGTGTCGTGATTTGCCAAATGCACGCATGCGTCAAGCTGTAGAATGTGCGTGTGAGTGCGGTGCCACCGCAGTTATGGCGTGTAATCGGATTAGTTTATACTTCCAAGAATTTAACATTCTCGTTGATAGAAAAGTAATATCTGGACTTTGAAATTATTTACATCCTATGCATATAATAAATATTTTTACTATAGATATGACATATTTAGGTTTGTATTGAGCTATAATGTTATTTAAACGGAAGTTCATTGGATTGTTAAGACTCTTGTTTGTCGTTGAGTAAGTACTTTGAAGGTAAATTTGAACTAATTCTCCCGGTTCATCTTTTAATCTCTTTCACGACGTTGCCGTATCATCGTTTATGGCTCATAAAGAAAATGCATAACGACAAATCTGCCCATCTCAGTGTACCCTCAGAAAGCCCCAACTAATGACATACAGGGTAAAGATCTGTACAAGGAAGCCATATGAATTTGATGGCCTTCCCTGAAAGCGATGTTATTCAATGTATAACCTGTCGGATGGGCGGTGGCAGATTATTTTGAGTTCCACGCCATACTTGTTTTTAAATGTTGCTTAAAACATTTCGATATGATACATTACAAATTTGAAATTATACATAATTCTAAATGCAGTTAATTTGTAATGAACCTTTATTTCAGTGCTTTCGTGTTTATTCTTAGGTTCCCAAAGGTTAACCTCACTTCAATTCAATATGGCCAACTTGTGAATACTGTTAATTGTGGCTACTGGATGTCTGTACGCGTTTTGAAGAAAGGAAAAATGAAATAGACCAAACTGTTTTCTTTTTCAATAAAAGGGATTGGCTGCTTTTTTGTGGGAAGCATGCTCCACGTTGGACCCCTGGATCCGCCCTAGGCTACATTCTAATAATTCTTAAGCCTTTTCCCTTTATCGATCAGTAACCAAGATTTAGAAAGATTCAGCGTAGCTATACCTGCTTTACATCTGGTTCGATGCTCTGCGAAAGTTAATGTTCAAGACATATAGTGCACCTGCTGCTGAATGTTTAGCAATTATACCGGTAACAGTACACGCATTTGGTTGCCAGACTATGGGTGTGGTGTAAAGGCGGGGCACGGGCGTGGTATATATCTCTGAAACTTTTCTATTTCAGATAAGCAACTACATTTAATTTATTAACCTCACGATGAGTAAGATTCCCTACGTGTCCCTCCTGAACACAAATATTTTCCCACTTAACTTAAAGATGGGAATGACGCTTTCGAACAAAAAGGCTTCTAGTAGGTTTTCAAAAAATGGTTATAAAGCCTTCCACACGTCTTAAACTGCCTCTAAACACGAAATCAACTGCAGCAGTTTGGCCTAAGGGAATCATTGCTTTGATCAATTCTGAAATCTTTGTAACATCAAACCTCTTTTTCACTTCGTGAAAAACACGGAGAAAGGGCTCTAGAAAAGTAGAGAACGCGGTTGATAGAAGTACGTTTATTATTACTTTTAATTGCAGTATGTGTTGCAACCTAGTTCAATAATCTCTCTCATTTTCAGAGCCTTGCTCAATTATATCGGGAGCGTGGACTTCAACATACATGGGCGGAACAAGAGCGCCGTTTCTGACCGTGGAGGTAGTCGTACCTTGCCTCGGTGTACTGGTTGTCGATAGCTCAAGCTGGGTTACGTTGCCGTCTGCTCGAAAGGGAGAGAGTCGGGTCCATTTGAGAAGTTTACGGAATGCCCTTCGGAACTCACTGTTCAGAGCCGCATAAAGGAGTGGGTTAAGCATGCTGTTGACGTAGCCTAGCCACAATACAACCATCTCTAGTGTCTTGGGGACGACAGTTCCTTCGAAGAAGCTCATGAATGTGAAGATGCTGAAGTAGGGTACCCAGCAGATGACGAAGCATCCCATGATGGTGGCTAGCATCTTGGTGGCTTTGTGTTCGTCTACCACGGCGTGGCTACGCGAGGAGAGATCCAAGCGTGAAGTGTGACCTCGCGTGGATGAAGATGCGGAGGATTCTCCACGTGACGTATGCCCGTTTTGTCTCGAAATTCTCCTCATCGGCTGCAGGGCACAAGTCTGCGAGTTAATGGTCCTGGCTTGCCTCCTGGCTATCAGTAATATTCTCAGGTACAGGCTACACATGACAACCAGTGGAAGAAAGAACAGGGCCACACCATCTATCAGACTGTACCACTTATTAGACTCCAGGCTACACTTGGTGGGATCCTCATAGTTTTGTACTGAGCCATCCCCGGTGTTCCAACCAAGATGTAGGGGCAAAAATGAAATGAAGAGAGATACAACCCACATGAGGTTTATAATCAGAAGCGCCTTACCTCGAGTCAGTCTCTGGTGGTACGCCATTGGATCCGTAATAGCCACGTACCTGTCGATGCTAATAGCGAAGAGATTCAAGATGGATGCCGTGCAGAACATGACATCACACGAAACGTACAAATTGCACAAGACTGCTCCGAACGGCCAGCAGCGCCAGACCTCGAAAATGGCGCTAAAGGGTAAAACGACTATTCCCAGAAGGAGATCGGCAACAGCCAGGGATACGATGAAGAGCCCCGTCACGCTGCGCAGACGACGGTTCACCGAGGGCGCCAAAATGACGAATATGTTACCCACAATGGTCATGACGATAATGAAGAACAGTATGATGCCTATCAGTATCAACACAGGCACGGAGCGGCCGTTGAACAGTGGGTTATCATCAATGTCTTTGCCTGGCGTTACCCCCGAAGAGTTGACCACATAGACGGTGGTCGAGTAGCATGAATGGACATGATTCTCGCTGTACTTCACCATCTTACATACGATGGTGTGATTCTCTGTCTGAAATATTTACATACACTCCGCACAAAAACGGCACTGCAGGTTCAGCGCAGATGTTTTCGTTGATACATTTGAATTGGCTTGCTTTCTCGTTTGAAAGACCACTAAAGCTATATGCTTGCATCCCAATGCATTCCTGGTGAATTCCGACTTATCCACTCTTATGAAGAATCTATTTCTCTTTTGCAGACAACTGTCTTGTATTTCCCCCCTTCGTCAGCACGTACAAGGTTGAGACCGCACTTAAAAGTAGTTGCACAAGAAACAATCTCACGTCATTGAGAGTAGTCATAAATGTTAACGGCGGTGTATGTACTTTTGTGACTCATGTGGAGCCTACCCGCACCATGTTGCTTTTCCACCATTCAGTCAGATCACTGTACGTGCCCTGCATCGTCGAACAGAGGACCTTCAATGGTGTTGGTGTGCCTTCATGTCTGGCATTATGAACGCCTAGTGGACTCCCGGTCATCTTTGATGTCTGTTCTCATGCGATGAACCGAAATAACTGCAGTGATTCAAGACCACGTGGTTTTGACGTTATGTCTTTTCCATCGTCGGCACAATCGAGACAATCTGTAAAAAACAGAAACGCACAACAAAAAACCGTTAACAAATCGTGCTGGCCATTTTATTATGTTAGAGCGCACTCCGCATCCGGGATAGTAGTAGGGAAGAGAACATGTTCATGTCTGCTGGAACACAGCTGCTCGTCTGTAGCAAGACATTGCTGGAGTTGCAGACATAAAAAGATTCCTCAGAATGCGCGGCATACCGCGCGCTGTTAGGCTTTGAAATGGTAGCCAGGGAAGGGCGCGATTGTCATAGTAAGTCTAACTCCTTGATGAGCTTGGGCGCTGCATGGATCCGCGTGCCTCGAACAATGGGACGTCGGCAATCACGTAATGGATCACACAAGGTTCGATGATCGCCCATTTGGGAATGGGTATCCTTGGCGCTTGGCTGCGATATTGAGTGACTGCGTTCAGTGGTGCAAAATATTATCATGCACCGCCGGCTAGTTCTTAGTTCCATGCACAGGTGCATGTGAACAATCCGAATGTGTAGTATTGATTGACATCTTGGGTATATGCAGCGCTGTGTCAATCAAAAATAAAGTGCAAATTTGCTCCAAGAGGTTTTTCCCTCGTATTCTTTGGACGGGTCAGTCCCTGTGACGTAGTTATTTCCAATGGTTGTGATTGGTCAAATTATTCGTATAAAGGCTTACAGTCCTTTTATATCAAATGCAGAGAACATCTCCTCTCGTGGAAAGTCTTAGGGAAAAAAATCGGGTTGAATGAATTATAAGTTTGGTGTATTATTTTGTAACTTGGTTAATTAGCACTCGGCTTGTACATGTAGTTCGTGCAAAGGCGAACGATTCGGAAAAAATGCACTGTCTATACGTTTTAAAAAGTTGTACTAGAAAAATTGTTTCTTTTCAGATGTGAATGTTTGAATTTAGTGTGGTAGCCCCTAGGATGGTAGTATACACATTTTCAGTTTCGCATTATCTGTGAGCTTGTTGGTGTGTGTATGGTCTCCAGTTACCATTAATTACGTAGCGTCGTGATCGCAGCTTCCTAGCTCCCACTGCATACATCTGGTAACACAAGGTCAACCAACAGTAGACTAATCAACATGCTGACACATTCCTGGCACGCGCCCTTTGAGGGAATGAAAACTGCCAATTTACACACCTTTTCCAATATTTCTGCGGTTAATCGCCTGTTTCCAAGCAACTGGTAACCTCGCTGACCACGAGGTTCTGATGAATAAATCGCACAATCAAACCTTCGAAACTTGTGTTCGATTTCAGACATGGGACGAAAGGTAGTAATATGGTGAAATAATAAATACTGACGCCATTAGAGCAAAACTATAACTAATAATTTCATCTCCCATATTTTAAATCCATGTCTGGCCGTACCATGCATATTACATATTTGGTTTGCATTGCAGTAAAATTGAAACCTTACTGTACACGTGCATGTGAACACATCACAGGTGCCATACATCTACGGGTATAGCCCTAGTTCTGACTGCAATAATGGAATACGTGTCCTTTGCAATTAAGGTGACCACTGCTTTATCAATATTGATGCTTCTGTAACAAGTGTGATGTCAAAATGTGTGGAAGGAAAAGCCCGTTCAATCCCGCTAAATTCCTAAGATGAAACGCAGGGTCCCACGAGAAAAGATACCTTCTTTTGTAATGTGTATATATTGCAATCAAGAGCAGAACTTTAATTTAACAAGGAATTCCGAATTATGTTCCTGTAAAGATAGGAAATTGAATGTTTTGATTACGTCCCGTCGCGTTTGATTGGCAGGGCAAGTGGATTTTTTTTCAAGTAGGCTCTACGGTCCACAAGTGTATACCTCATTGGTGAGTGTTAGCAGAAGGTTCATGTTGAGTTCTGGTCACATTTAATTCTTTTTTTTTTCCTTGTTGGAATTTCGATTTGTTCAATTTCTTTTCACAGCCAATTGCCAAACTGTAAGTTTAATGCTCCCCAGATCGATGGTGGAATACCAGTTGTGTTTCATCCCTCTAAGTTTAAATGACGAAGATTCGATAAGGTTTCCGTTATTGGCAAATGATGCAGCCCATCTGTCGCCAATTCCCAGCTCTATTAGATGACGAATGAGGAACTTATCGAATTATTATTCAGTAATATGCATCAAGCCAGGGAGAAATTCCTATTATTTTGATCGATAAGAAGATCTTTTTGAAAATACCGGGCGGAAGATATCCAGTTACAGAATAACTAATTTGTCCAGTTACAGAATAAGCAATTACAGTATTGCAGACAAATTGTCTTTCTTGCTGGTCATTTACGTCATTCCTATAGAAAAAAGACGAATAGCAGATGGGTAGGCTTATGTTGCATTTGAGGTCGATGACATGTTTGGAGCATTAGAAGAACACTTTTAACATTGCGTGTTTACTAAGACAGGATTAAACATCCAGCAAATGACAGGTGAACGCAATTAATATGTGAAGAGCAGAAGAGGCCACTTTCAACAGATGTACTGTTTTGTGATCCTCGGTAAAGGTTGCCTTATTGCGGATAGTATCTCAGTTCAAGCGTCTGTAATGCGAGGCGTGGGACAGGCTGATGCAAAGTTTTTTAACCTTCGGTTTGAATATGCTATTCGACATTTCAACAGATCATTGGACGATTATAGACGAAGAATGTGAAACCACTTCAGTGTTGTCTCATCACAGAGCATATGATGTATAGGGGATTAAATCCTTTGGAATTGCAAGACATTCATGCTGGAGGCATTTCAGGCTATACACCGATGTCATTTATATCAAGTATATTCAGTTTGTAGCAGAGGACTGAAAGCATATAACCTTAATTGTGGTAAGGAGTTTATCACTGTTTTTTCTCACGCTTTGGTCAAAATCGTTAACAACCCTGACTTGGAATACATATCGTTCCGCGTCTGTATAGGTGCGTTGATAAATGCAGCACACGAATCTCATTCAACATCAGTGGGTATACCACAACGATGGTTATCGAAATAAATACTGAACATCAATCATGCGTCAATAACGTGTCACTCAAACAGCGCAACGAGTAACGTAAAATGCTCATATGGGTTCCAAGCAACCCTGCAAAGATGCTGCCCAGATGCAATCTGACTCTAAACTGCCACATGTAAATAGCTAATTGAAAATAGACTGATAAAATGGCCCAAATTAATACCGTTCCGCAAATCAGTGAGTCTGCCGAGCTGTTAGGGATGTGAACGTGGGAGTCCGAGCGGTTATTGCCCCATGGGACTACTGCTCATTCTCCCCTAAGTGGCAATCCTGTATCGGCATTTCCTTGTTCTGGTTTCTCATCTGCACGGATCCGGAGGGTCGAGTATTATCAAATACTACGGGCCAGAAGGGGAAAACGTTGCTCACAAAGCAGAAGAAAAATCAATCAAACACAAGGTATTTTCACAAGTAAACAGATTCTGCTTATAGGAATAGCTACACGGACAAACATTTTAGTTTTTATCACGCAGTACTTCGGAAGAACGAAAGTCTACCAGAGGCCAAAGTACTGGGCATAATCATAGGACTGTGCACGATAGGGACAAATTTAACATCAATCGCAGTGATAACACTTTGATTCAAAAGACCACACCGCACTCTTGGTATCACAGAACTAGCAAAGCCTTACAGTAGCATATTCGGGTTCTGGTAATTATCAAATGGGTTGCACATTTTATCTCTTCTCTCTACCTATGGAGGTGTTGTGTAATTTATTTTCCAAAGTCTTGGATGAATATAGTTAGCGATCATCACAGAAACGTCACATTTTATTACAGTTTGGGACCATGTAAATGTTTGCTCAAAAAAAGTGGGACTATTTATGGGCATTCGCTTTTTATTGTTTGTATTTTTCTTCTCAAACGAATTTGAGCACGAAAAAGCCAACCCTAAATCGCTAAAAGAATGCCGATGGTCTTATCGTACTCTTACATCTTTCTCTTGACACGCACTTCTTATCCACGGACAAAAGCTCTTGTTATGCTGCAATCCACCTGTAATTTCTCTCCCGCTGCGTCAAACTTGTCTTAGCCTGCGTGTTTCACCGTAAAACCATCCCTGGTTTGGCCTGAGGATGGAAGAGACACAATACACTGACATTTCCTCTCTTCCACACGCGGACCGAGCTCAGCTTCGTCCAGTCACGCCTGTGGGTGCCGCAAGGGCCGAAAATGTAGGCGCTCGATCGGAGGTGTCAAAAAACCACTCAAGTGGCCTTTTCATAGCCAGAGACGTGATTGAAAACCTCGCTCGTGTTCCATTTGGTTCACCTTCAAATTAAATCTCTAAAGTGAATCGTCTTCTTGGTTGCCTCTTCTAAGATGTGACTTGCAGTTTGTATTTATTACTTAATCGTACTGAGTGTTCCATTGATTGCTGAACGATGCCGTTGGTCATGTTTGTACGCTTTTATAAAAGGCTCCATTTATTGGTTATCACAGTTGTTTTAGTCTTTTCGGATTTGACGTGTTTGTCTTCCTTCTTTGGTGGCGCTTCCATTATGTTAATTATTCGATATTTTACGTTGCTGTTACCTTCAAGATTTGTTATTTTATTGTAAAATGTGTACTTCTTGACAGCTTTAGAGACAGCTTCATTGGCTTTATGCAAAATAACACCGGGGATCAAATCGAAAGGTTTATACATTTCATATTAGATCGTATACAAAATTACAAATGGAACTAAAGCAATGGAACTCTGACTGTTGTTATTATTATCACCAAAGGTAATCACCTTCAACTATTCGCCACAATATCGCATAACGAAAGTGAATTGCTAATGAAGCGTTTCATCCTTCTGTGGTGTAATTGAAGAACGGTTCGATATAACTTCCGTTTCTTTACTTTGTCATTCAATGCATTAAACTGCATTTTGAACCCAAAATGTCTGTTTTAAATCTATACATCCGTAGAATTGCATGTATTTTTTAAATTTTTCTTTGCACCTCATAAAAATGTGGCAAATTTTTCTACATTGCTACTTTGGAAAACGCTAGAGCGACGCGTTTGCAAATCCC